GTACTTGGCCATCTTTCTAATGTAATTTTCCCACTCTGCTTGAGTAGAAGATCAAATATGTAGTAAATCATGTCTGTCTCTCTGTAAGATGTATCTAGTGAAATTATGTTTCTCAGACATACTGTTATAATTATCTTTTCTAAATTTGTTGTTATGCAAATGAATGCAATCAATGTAGACTTATTTTTGCAGCACACCTTCCAACCACTGGACAGCATTTCCCTTTCTGATCCACAGCTTCTAGAATATACTGACATAGCATTTGAGGGCTTTTTGCTTTTTCCCTAAAGATCTGTATTTATTTTTTTTACACGGGCCAGTTTTTGGACTGCTTATTCTTTAAGATTGTTCTGTGATCTTAAATACTGAAGCAATGAGCGTGGAGTTCATTTGCATTTTTTCTGTGATTTTTGTTTGTTTCCTGTAAAGAATGGCCTCGGAAGGGCAGCTTGAATGAGGAAAAAACCTCTTGCTACCTGAGCCATAGTTTTCTTAACAGCTACTGTATGGGGAGTGTGTCTTCTTGTAGCCTTAAGAACTGGTGCTTGCAGATCTCTTGTGATGAGCACTGTGCCCTTCAGTAACAGTCTGCAGAATTTGTCCTTAGATTTGGAACTGTGTCCTTTAACTCTGGAAACAGTTTATCTGATTCTCCAGGACCGTGTTTAGGTATATGCAGGTCACACAAACCAGTGATGGACACTGTGGGACAGCCAGTGGATGATTCTGTTACCACAGTGCTTTTTAATAGGCTACTAAAAATATGATAACTAACTCCTGACTGTAAATTACAAGACACAGAAGAACTACTGTATTCCATGTACTTTCTCTTTGTGTGTGTGCACCTTCTCCAGGCACCATCCAGTCCTCTTGCTTTTGATGCTGAGCTTCAGTCTAATGGTGCTGTCCCAGTAAAGCTGGTGCACCAGACTGGGAGGCAGTTTTGTGGCTTTAACAAAACAAAAAGCATTGTTTCTTTTTTTCCTCTGTCTTTCAAGGATTTTTGTCCCATTTTCAGGATATTTAAAGATTTTTGTTCAAATCCAGTGTTCCCTTGCCCCCCTTTTTCTCTTGGATCCTGTATGTGAACCACTCTTGGAGAAACTGGAGAATGGTCAGCAGTTCTACTCCAGTGCTCATACCTGGTGTAGAGCTTGAAGGAGAAACAGATTCTACTTGTCTGGAGGAAAATGATTTTAAGGTGTCTCTGAAGAGGGAAACAAACCAGTATAGCTTTTATCAGAGTAGTTACTTGAGCATAACTACCCATATGGATGTTCTGATTCCAGAAAAACAACTTTATTCTGGATGAAATAGAAAAAGTTTTTCCTATGTGTAGATCATAACAGAATATGATATAAAATATGGACAACGCATCCTTCCCCCTCCTAAGCTCATACCACATGAAAATGCTTTTTAGAACAGGTCCATCCATCTGCAGACCTGTCAGGAATGTGGTGTCCTGTGGAGTGAGGTGTGGCCTCAGAGCCCCTGGCACTTCATGCCACTTGTTTCTCCCTCGCTTCCACATTTGTTCCTTTAAGTGTTGCATTGCAGTGACTTACTCCAAGGAGCAGAGTGGCTGGGATTCCCTTGTTGCTGCACATCTGTATTTCCAGGGGTTCCTTTGCTGCTGCACAACTCTAGCTCCCGTGTTTCCCTCGTTCCTTGGCTCTGGCAGAACCCCTCGTTTGCACTGACACGTTGCTCACTTGTCTTCAGCTCCGTGTCGCCGTTAGACAGGAGTTGGCTGCATAGTCTGTGTTCGTAGCAGGAACCAAAAGTCTCATGAAGAAAATAACCCTCTGCTTCCCGTGGCTGAGATGTAAAAGCCAGCTGAGCGTGTGTGCAGCTGGCAGCAGTGTGGGAGCTGTGCTGTGGGGTGGAGCAGACTGTACTGTGAAAGGAGATCACTGCGTGTGGTGTCTGCCCTCGAGCAACGGGACACCTCATGGTCAGTTCAGGGATCTTACTGGGGTTTACACACCCTTTTTTCTTGTTTTTAATGCTCATCCTGTATAAAAGCCCTTTAACTGCAACCTGAACAGAGGTTAGAAGAGACATGTAAAAATCCTCTCTGTACCCCAGGACATTGGAGAATCTTAATTTTCTTCACATCAGAAGGGTTTTGATGATGCAGGAAAACATGCATGCTGTATGTTCTAGATCTCCTGTAGCCACTTCTCTCACATTTTCACTGTTAAGCCATTCTCTCTCTTCTTTCTTTATCTTCTTTTGAAAGTCTTATCTCTAAACAAAGGCATATTTGATCCTGGATTTTATTGACACTGTTGGGTCCAAACCCTGTGTGAGCAGGAAGCAAAGCCTTGTTGTGAACCAGTGAGCGGAAGGTGAGATAGTGATTGCATTTTTCAAAGCACTGTTTTAGCTGAATGTCAGGACAAATGATATTGGAGAAATTGTTTTCTCATTTAAAATGGCCTGGGAAACAGAATTTTGATTTGCCCTTCAATATGCTTAGCTTTAAACCAGTTTAAAATTATTTAAAGGTGTTTGGTTTTTTTTATACAAGACCATATTTACATGCAATTATTATTTGTAAACATAATGCCTTTCTTGAAATGCTAAGGTCTAGAATGAAAAGGATGGCCAATATTGAAAGCCTCTATTCAGAATAAGCATAAGCAGTGATTTGACTTGAAGTTGAGGAAAATAAAATGTGGTTTATTGAACTTCCAGATTTTCTACTTAGCTTTTACTGAAGTGATGATTCTGTGCTGGTAAGGCAGATGTTACTGTGTATTCAGCTACCCAGATCATTACACTAAAAGTACAAGCAATAATCTATTCTAAGTTTAAGCCAAAATGATTTCCATTTGGGCACAAAATGCAGTTGAACTTTTATTTTCATAGCAGTGATGCCTCATGACTTGAATTGTGATTTTTGCTTTTTAATTTTTAAATTTTTGGGGGGCACAATTTTGATTTGGCTCGAGGGCACTGCTCAGTGCAGTGACCGCCTCCAGTCAGCTGCTGCAGATGAGTTTTTGGAAGGTTCAAGTTTTTAAAATAAGGAATTGTGAAAAAGGTTGTGAACTGAAACACAGAAGACAAAATTATTAAACTGTTCACTTGGAACTTTAAAAAACTACATAATGATCTAGACTTTATCATTTCAAAGTGTTTTTTTTTTCTTTTTAGAATATGCATGCCAAATGTCTTGTCTTTTTCAATGATTTGTAATATACATTTTATGACTGGAAACTTTTTGTACAACACACTCGAATAAATGTTTTGCATTTTACTGGTTGCCTTCTTTCTTTTAACCAACCTCGAGGCCATGTGGCCCGTTTGAGATGATTCGTCCCCGGGGGGACCTTTCTGTGTGGAGAGAGAGAGAGAGAGAGAGGATACAAAGAGCTGTCCCTGCTCCTAAGACTGATGGGGAGGGTGTCCCAGCAGGGATTGTGGGGTGTCCCAGCAGGGATTGTGGGGTGTCCCATCAGGGATTGTGGGGTGTATTCCAGAAGCAAACCAGCGCTTTCCTTAAACGGGACGCAGTGCTGGTGGAAAGTGCTGTCCTCTCCGATCAGCAGCAACAAAAACAGCAGGAAGAATATCAGGAGCTGGAGCAGGAAACCATCCCCTTCTTATCACCCTTGCACTGAAGGCGTTTTTCCATTTAACCTGCTTGATCCTGACGTGAGAATGAGAGCAGATACCGACCTCCGGCTGGGATGGATTCTTAGGATGGGCAGGAGCGTTGCCGCGCAGCTTCCAACCCACTTGCTGATAAAACTGTACCTTAGGCGGCTGCCCCATCGTTAGCACTGGCTGATGGTGCTCCCGTGAGGTGTCGGAATGCCTTCTGGTTGAAGTGGACAGACCGACAGACAGGATGACACGGTTTGCAGTACCCTGAGTGCGGGCTCTAGCCAGTGAAGACTAGAGCAGTTTGGGCTTCAGCTCTGCTGTCAGTTCCTTCTCTCGTACCAACTCTTTCCCTCACATCACATCTTGCCCCCGTGGTGTCCTCTCCCGTTTGCTTCTACCGCGTTCCAGAGCGTTCTTACTCAACGGAGGAGACCGCAATGGAATTGAGGCAGAATTAAGGGCACGAGCCTCTCCCCCGAGTCACGTAAGGCAGAGGAAACGATCGCCATCGCCTGGAAGGGTGAATTCCAGAGAGAACCCACCGAGGAGCTGCTCTCTGGGGGGAGCCCAGCTCAGACCGGGGTGTTCCGCCGCAGGGCAGCCGGGCAGCGTTCGTCTCTCTGGTGCTGCCGGTTTAAAGCCCCTTCCCCTCGCCCCTCCGCGGGGCTGCGCTGAACGCCGGGACTCGAACGCTGTGTCTGACTCGGGCCCGGGCCGACCCTGCCCTGGG